GGATATTCAAACTTCTGTTTGTTACCTGGAGTCAAGTGTGTTATTTGAGTTGAGCACACAMTATGCAAAAAGACTTTCGTGCAGACAGATAAATTGATAGGTGGATCTCAATAAAGAAGATGTGARATAAAGGCTAAGGAAATAAGAAAGAGCACACGGATAAATGAAATTAATATAGGAACTTTTAAAATGAAACTTAGATGGGAAAGCTTTTGATGAGCTGCTCTAGATATATACTGACTTTTGTTTGAAAAAAAATGAAGAAAATTTTATAAATGATATTTTGTTACACTATTCATACTTGAATTATTCCTTCCCATATGTAACATCGAATTATCTCTCACATACTTTAGTACTGTTAACTGCCCCTATAAGTACTCGAATATATGCTCGAACTTTTCTTATATAATATATGTATTTGTGCAAGGATAATGAGAAACTCAAAGGATTTTAGTTCAAATGTTTCGAAATGGCAACTTTCCACGTCTACTTAATGTCTAAAGGTCAAAAACATCTGTGCACTTATAACACTCGAAGTACATATTTTCAAATATAAAACATTGCAAAAAAATATTTGCGAGGTTTTCAATGCATTGCATGTGTCAGTCCTTTTGAGTGAGAGTTTAGCATGCAATTCAAGTGGCATTGTAAGCATTGCTTTTGCATTATTGAGTGCACCATATGTCCATACGTTGCAATTTTGAAAACTTTTTATCCACATTTAACCTCTCTTCTTCGTTCTCTCATTTCCTCTCTTCGTCGACTCTAAAAACATTACAAAGCAAAGAGTTCATGCCGCAACAACATACTTGAACTTAAACTTCCTTTTGTCAGCACGCGAAGGATACTTTGTAAAGTGCGTGGAGAAGTTTTAAAGAAACTTGAGCAAAGAATGCAGCATTGACGTATGCAATTTTTTGTAGATAGTTGAGAGTAGTAGGGAATTGTGTTCCGCAAGATTTTAGTTTTATGRTTAAGCCAAATATATGTCAAGCTCCTGCAAAGTTGGCCAATATTAACT